ACAGGTTCCTGCAAGAGTTTGTTCCTCTGCCATGAATACCTCCCAGTCTTGTTTATGTTTAATGCTCCAGAGCAGGAAAAGTCTTCAGCAGTGCTCTCACGAGGAGGGTTTGGAAGATCCCCGGAAGTCCTACAGGCTTGGGCTCCTAGTTAATGAGAAACAACTTCTGCCTCATGGTTGACTCTTCTGGCTGAGCTCAGCTTCTGGGTCTCTTAGTCTGACCTGCTGTACAGCACTGTGACCTGGAGATTTTCTACATGTATTTAAGGACTTTAGTTTGATCATGTAAAAAGTAATGAGTATTAGGAATATTATTTAATGGAAGAAATCTCATACCACCGCCTGAATATGAATCTGATTTGCAGTTGTGTGAGTTCTGGATGTGTCTCTGGGAATCAAAAGTTTGGAGTTTAAATCAGGCAAATATTTTTTTAGATTACCAAAAGGCCAAGTATTAGATGTTTTAAGGCCACAGTTACAGGCTTCTCCATTTATAGGGATGAAGAAAAACATTAAAGCCCATTTAGTTCACAAGTCATTTAAGCAGTTGCTTGAAGTGCTCAAACTGTTATTGACAAAAGCATAATCCAAACAGAAGTCAGTGCCAAAATGATTAAAATGGTGTTTGGTCTGTCATTGCCCTATAGGAATTCTTTAAGACTCGTGTTAATTAGGTGTTGTTAAATGTGAAGCTGTGATGACTGCTGCGTTGTGGGGAGTGTTACAAGGCTGCTGTGTTTGCAGTAAGAGCAGTATGGAAGCTGTGTGCAAAAAGTAGGTACAAGGCAAGAAGAATTTGGATCTTCTGAATATTGATGGAGGAGGGACTGTTTGTCAAACTCTCTCCACTTAGCAAGGTAAAAGCATCAATGATAAATCTGTGTTTTTCAACTTGGTGAAATATTAAACAATGAACCATGAAATTTGCATCTGGTGTTATATACATCCTCTGCAGCTTCCTGATGGTGAGAGAGTGTGGGCAAAGGGAATGTCTTATTCTTTTGACTTATTCTTCACTCATTTCTTGGTAATATTGCATTTTCTTCAAATTCTCATTAAAGCCAGATTTTTGAATGAAGTCAGTGTTGTTAAATTAAATATCCATTCTTGCCTGAGCTCTGTGGGGTGCTCATGAGTTAAGCAGCACATCAATTCATCCAGATCACTGCAACACAAAGTTGGTTTCTCAATATGTTCATGGCTTGTGATAGGCTGAGAAAAACCCATGCTATGGCTTTGAATTTTAAGGGGTTTTCCATTCCTGATGTCCGGAATAGCTGCGAGTGTGATCCTTCCCAGCAAGGGAAGTGTGATGAGGGGCTCGGTCTTAATTTCAGTTCCCATTAATCTTGCTGTGTTATGTGTTTTCTGTGTTTGTTTGCAGGCTTGTGTACGGATGGAAATATGTATTCTTCTGTCCTGGCTTCTTCAGAAAGATCAGTATTTTATGTGCAGTCTTCACTGGGCATGTTAAAATGTAAAGGAAAATGCAGGTAGTGAGGAGGAAAAGCTGAAAAATAAGGTGATTATGTGAGTTTTGAGCTTGGCAAATTTTTTGAGGCGATTATACTATGTGAATCTTTGTGCTGGATATTTCTGGGAGGCCCCATTCCAGGATATGATTTTCATGTTATTAGCCATAAACTGTGAAACTTTGAGTGCTTGAGGTTGAGTAAATGATTAAATGATTTTCTGATTTGAGGCCCAAATAATATGGAAAGTCTTCGTGGTAGAATAGCTAAAAGGTGCACAACATTGTTTTTCTTTCCCCCTATATAAGGCATAAGCTTATTCACGTTTCTCTTTTATAGGTTTTAGTAGCCAATATATGAATTTCAGGAGGTGATGGAAACTGTGATTTAATGTACAACTATTTCTTTTTTTGTTAAATGACACATGCATTCATAGTGATAAATTGGAGCTGGAGAATACTTAGAAGTAATTACACATCAGGAAGCTAGGGAAAAGATTTCACATCCTTCCTTCTTCTCTCAAAGTAAATGAAGACAAGTAATGCCATTGATTAAAGAGTATAAGGAATTAAACCAGTTATTTTAACGTAACATTTTCATTGCAGGAACCTGAATTCTAGTCGCTGTTACCGTATCGCACAATACTCTGTTCTTCTCTTAGTCCTCTTTATTCCAGCAGGAGCAAGGTACCCATGAATACAATTATGGGCATCAGAATCTAGCCTGAAAACCTAAAAATCTGGGAAAGCACATTACATTAGGGGAAAAAAAAAATGAAAGCACATCAAGAGATGTATAATCAAATGGTACTTGCATTAAAAAATTGTTCAATAATATCAATACCCATTAAAGAGGAACAACACATGTTCTGTTATCATAGAACTTTGGAAAAACATTTTTTCTTTGGCTGTTGGTTTATTTATAACTAATATATAATGAACAAGGATACATGTAAGAATTTAAGTGAAGTAGCAAGCTAATTTATATAGAACTTCAGAGTAAAACAGTGCAAACAGAAAGATGAGTTTCAAAATCCTAAAGGCAAACTTGAAGGTTCTCACTGCAGTGAAATACAATGTCCAAAATATTTGCAAAGGGTCTTGTGTTATCTCTGTGCAGGTCTAGGTACAGCGAGCCTATAATTAGTGTGCGGAGAGAATGGAGCTTTTAAAGGAGACACTTGAAGGTCTGCAGGATGAAAGCCAGTGTGCAGTGAGAGGCTGCACTTACCTGTGTGGAGCTTATCGCAGAAAGGAGTAGAGACAAGTGTAACCAGGACACAGGTGCATTAAAAACTCTGCACAGGGTATTGACCCAGGGCCTTTCCCCCTCTGTTAATATTTAATATCTTAAGAACCATGGTGTGTTTAGCTCTGTTCAGGCACAGGGGTTTGGAGAGCAGTTAAGGTAAATAAGTATGCATTGTGTGTCTTTTTGCTTCACCTGTTAACTGTTGCTTAGTCCTTAAGGTCCTGATTTTATAAGGTAACTTTATTTGAAAACAATGAGGCATGTTTTAATGTTCTCCTCTGTTGACCTTCCTCTGATACCACCCCCTGTTGTTTTGTTCTGGTTCCATTATCAAATAGATATTGATTCTATGCACAAACTCATTTTCCAGATAGCGCTATTGAGCTCCCCGCTGCAGGGCTTTTTTTTCCCCTCAAAAAAAATGCAAACCTTTCATTTTTGGCTTAAGGTAAATGTAAACGAATATTAACTTGTTTTTTCAAAATACATCATTTTGGGGTGTAGGAGAATGGGAGGTTGGTAAAACTCCTTTTCCATGACACCAAATGGAACAAGTCTTCTAACTCTCAAATTCAGCACCAAATATTTCAGCAGAAAGAGGAAATATGATGGCTTGGAAAGTGAGCCCATGCTCAGAACTGCTTCCACTGCTCTTCACTCTGGCTAAGTAATTTCTTGATTACTTCTTAATTGCTGTTAAAAGCACTACATTCTCCCTTCTTCAGAGTAACAAGGGATCCTGTCTCCTTGTGTCTTCTTGTCCTCCCCATCCCTGACCCTGTGGAATTCAACTGTGGAGCAAAGGTGGAATTTCTCTCTTCCAAATGTCTCTCCTGCAATTTTGTTTACTTCAAAACTATACAAAGGGAGAAGTGGCACCAAGTTTACACTACATTAGTTTGCTAGAAGCCTGCTGTAATGAGAAGAGTGTTGCTTTGCCTTAAAGTCAGTAAGTATGGTAAATGCACACTTTAAATTCAAATTAACCATGCTAACGGATACACTCCTGGAGTGTATCGCTGCATCTCTCCTGTCTGCCAAAGTTTATCCTCCTCTGACTTTACAAATCAGATCAGAAATAGGGAGCTCACATGGTACTGACAACCTGGTATCTGAGTCTCCATGGACTTGGGATCTGACTTTACAGCAGAGAAGTGGGTCACCAGCTTATTATTGGCAGCTCAAGTTTGGTGTCATTTAGGCAGCTGAAGAGAGATAAATAGGCCATCGATCAGTCTAGCAACAGCCCAGGGCCTCCGTACTTTAATTATGTGTGTTCTTCGGACCAAATTTATCCCTGTTGAAACAGCATCAACTTAAATGAAACTCCATGATGGAGGAATTTGGCCCAATATGTTTTTTATCTCTGTGTTATCAATACATCTAACACTGTCTCAAATAACATTTTATTTCTGTCTCTCCAGCTTTCCTAAGCAAGCTCGCTGAGGTTTTGATGCCATTTCAAGTAGCGAAGAGAGGTGAAGTGAACTCTTCCTGTTAGGCCTTATTATAGGAAGAAGCTTTAAGCAATTGTTGAAATATATTCATCCAGCACAACACTGCAGCTCTGTGTTTAGCCTAAGAAGGCTGGGTGCTTTGCTGGATTTACCAAATGGAAACCGTGATTATCAGTAATGTTGCATCCGTGTGTTCTCTCTGTGGGCACTGGAGAAATCCGCTGAAGTCCCTTATAAGATGTGTCCATTTCTGGATGAGGCTGTTTTACGTGGCACCCGTTCCATCAAAGCCTGGCTGCATCCTTCACCCTCCAAGAAGGGTTGGTAAGAGACTGGAAGCCAAGATATGTTAAGAGTTAGGACTAAATGCAACTTATCTCTTTCTCAAGCATGCATAGGTGTGCCATTGGTCTGAGGGTGCACTAGGCATTTCTTCAAGGAAGCGTCTGCAGGAGGAGCCTGTTTGGGCACATGGTGCCGAAGGGTGCAATTCTCCAGCACGTTCTCCCAGCCGGAAGCTAATGGACCAGGGAGGAGAGTCAGTGTGAGGCGGAGCAGTTGCTCTTCTCTTTGCAGCAATCCATGCAGTGAGGGCGAGCTGAGCTCCAGAGCCTCCAGCAGCGTTCCCAACTACTCACTGCAGCAGTGGGAGCCACCAACAGGGAGCAGCCAGTGTCCAAATCCCTGTGGTGGGCAGCTTCCAAGGGAAGTGGAGCATCAGAGGCCAGGGTGCAAAGCTGCTGCTGCTGTCCTAGCTGAGTCCTTGCTCTTCTCCATCCTCCAAGCCACCAGGGTCAGAGCCCTGCAGGGATCCCGACTGATGGCACAGTTAGAGGATGTCATCCCAGAGAACATCAGCTGGGCTGCCGAGGAAGCCCAGGGCAACGAATCCTCAGAGCACACATTCTTCTCTCTGGATTATCAGCATGTCCAAGTTCCCTTTGAAATCACCCTCTGGATCATGCTTGCATCCTTGGCCAAAATAGGTAAGGCATCTTGAGGGAATGAGGAGGGACAGGGGTCTCTGTGGGGATGATGTGGGCAGGAGTGGCCTCTGCTTCTCTGCTTCACCAGTCTTGGAGCCTGAGATAACATGCCAAGTCCTAAGGATGCACAAATTGTGTGCCAGACATGCTGCGCACATAGAAAATAAATGCCCAGTTGCATTTTAGGTTGGAAATGATGGTTTTCCATCTAGAAGTTCACACCTGTGCATGCTATTGCCATTAGCAGGAAGAATACCAGGCTTTCTAGGAGAAGGAATTTTACTTAACTGCAGTATGTATCAAGGTGTCCATTCATCTCAGTTAGCTTGCCAGCTATGCTATGTGCAGGTGGTCCACTGACATCTTCATCTTCAAATGAAAACACTTTGTTCTTAGAAAGGATGCTGTGTCTGGCCAGTTGCAAAGAATAATTCAGTCCATGCGCAGGGAGTTATACAGCCTAAAATAAAACCTCTCTGCATCAAGGATGCTATCTGTGTAATGACACCTAAGAAAGGGTATTTTGGACCTACATTTTCTTTTCTTTTTCTTTTCTTTCCAATTTTTTTTTCCCCTCTGCAAAATGGGGCATAGGAAAGTGGAAATTATATTTATTTTCAGTCCAGGAATTGTGATCACTCCTTTTAAATTACTGCTATAAAAGTAATTTTATCACATTTATTTTTCTCAGAAGGGAAAAGTCTCTGAGATTCAGTTAGATCAGAATTTTCTTCTGATGGAAATGGTCTCTTTGTTTTGCTGTTCTTTATATTATGAGATCCCAATCCTGTTAACATGCATGAAGAAGTAATAATGATCACAGGTTTTATTATTTTTCCTATTTGAGTTTTGGTTATTTATATTTATATAATATTTATTATTACATTAATAAAAGAAAGTAATTTCACCTTAGGTACTTGTGGTGGTTGCATTTCTTTCTAACATTGGGTGTTGCACATGGCTGTCTCAATTGGACTGTTTTAAATGTTGCATTTAGCTTTAAGTGTTAATGATTAAATAATATTAAAAGTAGCACCTTTCATAATTAATGAGAATGCTTTTTGTGATTTTTTTTTTCTTTTACACATATAGAATCTGTATTGTTTAAAATTAGCAGTCGCTATTTACGTTGGTGCCGAAGATGAGCCTGCTAGCTAGATTGCATCATAAATAATTCTAAATACATTATTTATGCAGATTATTTAGTTTTTCTATTTGTGTATTACCTAAAAATGTATCTTTAACCTTACACTATGATGAAATGCAGGCTGAACCAACAGTAATCTTAGAAAGTTCGGTATTTTCAGTAATCTTTCAGATCTTGTAGCCAATTTTGGATTGAGTGACTTCAACCTTAATTGTGGGCATTGATTACTGCTACTCTAAGGTGTAGCCTGCTGAAGATGGGAACATGTTTGGTGGTTTTTTGCCAGTTTGGGCTGGTGAGATAATATGTGTTTTCTTATGTATCCATCCCCTTCCAGGGTTTCATCTCTACAACAAGCTGCCTTCTGTTGTTCCTGAAAGCTGTTTATTGATATTTGTAGGACTGATCATGGGGGGAATCATCTACGGCTTCAATGACAAGTCACCACCTGTTATGGACAGCGACATCTTTTTCCTCTACCTCCTGCCACCTATCGTCCTTGATGCAGGTTACTTCATGCCCAGCCGTCCCTTTTTTGAGAACATTGGGACAATCCTCCTCTATGCAGTCATGGGGACAATATGGAATGTGTTTGGAATTGGCTTCTCCCTGTATGGGATCTGTCAGGTGAAAGCCTTTCGCCTGCAGGACGTGTCGCTGCTCCACAACCTCCTGTTTGGCAGCCTGATCGCCGCTGTGGATCCCGTGGCAGTGTTGGCTGTCTTTGAAGAGATACATGTCAATGAAAAGCTACACATTTTGGTCTTTGGTGAATCGCTTCTGAATGACGCGGTGACAGTGGTAAGGACTAGCCTTTATTTTGAATATTTAATGTTCAGAGGAAGGGTGGGATGTGAGATCTGCAGAGACAAGAGGGATCAACAGTCTCTTCTAGTGGAGGACTCCTGGTCCACTTCTCTGGCTTGAGAAGTGGATCAAGAGTCAGGCTTGAGGTCCTGAGAAGCTTTCAGGTGAACATCTCTTTGACTGCATGGAGATGAAAATGCATGTGAGGGCCACAGCACTCCTCTGGTAGGAACCCAGCTGCCAGAGAAAGATGCTGACTGAAAGCTGTCAGGAATCCCAGCAGAGTATTTTAGTGTCACTGCTACATATGGCCATATCTGGTGAATATCTTGTTAACAGCTGGTTTTCATTTTTTTCACCCAGGTCCTCTACAAGCTATTTCGATCTTTCTGTGAAATGCCAACCATCAAAACCATGGATGTTTTTGCTGGAGTTGGAAAATTCTTTGTGGTTGGGCTTGGAGGAGTTCTAGTAGGTCTTACTTTTGGGATGACTGCTGCCTTTACCACGCGATTCACCAAGGATATCCGTGTCATCGAGCCACTCTTTGTCTTCCTGTACAGCTACCTTTCCTACCTCACTGCTGAAATGTTTCACCTTTCAGGGATTGTGGCGTAAGTTTGTCCCAGCATCTCATCTGTCCAGGAAAGCTTTCTGGCTATATTTATTGAAATGTAACGGGAAAAAAATGAAGTTTGTTTAGTTGGAAATCTCTGTATGGCAGAGAACAGTGAGAGTCTCGTGGAATTGCTGAGGGGTGTAACCGCATTTCACACGTTACGCAATAACACATCGATGGTAATAGCTGCAAGTCACAAGCAATCCAGATGACTCCTGCTGGGCAAGCTTCCGATGGCTGATCGCTTTATGTAGGTTATAGAGGAATGTTTGTTTGAGCTCCATGGTTTTTGTTTGGAAATCCTGGGCATTCAAGCAGTGAGATGTTTAGTAGATTTAGCAGTGCCAGAAGAGCCTTTCTTGGCATATTTTGTTGTTTTTAAAATGTTTGGCCTAGCCAAACCCAACATTTGTAGAGCTGCAAGGAGTGTTTAATCAACTCCTCAGCAAAGTTTGGTCTTGAATAATAATGCTAACGGTCAAAGAAAGCTCACCTTGGAAAGCAGAGACAGATGAAAAACGGAGTGATTCAGTCCTGGTTTCTGTGGGCTGGTATCTGCTAAATTTGGCTCTCCTACTTAAACTAAGTCAACTGGTGCTGAGGATCACAACCAACTATTTAATATTTCCCAAAAGAAATACTTAGACTGCATAGATAGCTACAGTGTAAACAACTGTAAATCTGATAATAATGAAGATAAACCATTCCTATATCGTGCAGATTTTATTTCCTTGAATGGTTAATAGGAGCGATATTCTAGCATCACTGAAAACAATTCTAGCTCTGGGAATAGGTAAAAGAAAGCCTATTTATAGGAGTGTAAGATAGAGCAGCGAAATAAAAATGCTGCATAATCATAGTGGAACAGAAAACATTCAATCCTAATGGTGTCTCCTTCTATCAATCACAATCTACTATACCCATTATGGAACGCATTTTCTACTCTTTTGAATAATGCATTGTCTCTGAAGCAAAACAATTGCAAAGGCAGCTGATTCCTGTACTGCTGGTCTTATAATTGCCAAATTATAAATGCCTCTTTTATATATCTTGATTTTGAACAATTCATTCATTTGTGACCAGGGAATACTGCATTAAGAAGCAGATCTTGGCAGTTTCTTCTTCGAAAAATAATTTGATTGCCAAAAAAATCAATTCTACATAGTCAAAAATAATTAAAAAAAATATAAAAAAATATCTGTGAATGCAACTCAATCTGCCAAAAAGTTCTGCAAGTGTGTTTTATCTTTATTTGTTCTTCCTTTGCTTTTATTTTTAACTCTTGCCTTAGTGTCAGTGTCCATCTTTGAAGCTGTGACAGGACAGGTCAAGTTTATTCCCTCTCTGTGAATCTGGTGTGAACCCCTCCCCATTCTTGACTAAGTGTTCCCAAACCATGCTTCTGGAAGTCTCTTGCCCATAAATACTTGTTGGATTTCTTACTTCTTAGCTGGAACTATTTTACCCACTATTTATTGAGGCAGGAACGGAAGAATTTATTATTTTCCTTTTAGCCTGTGGTTCAATCTCTGTTTCTGTTTCTGGCTTAATGCTTTGTGCAAAGTGGGTCAGTCTGAAAAGGATAAATCAAAAAAGACCAATTTCAGAAAAATTTAAAGTATTGGTACATCTTTTCAGGAGATGAAAGAGGTGCACTTAAACAATGTTAGACAAAAAAGGGATTTGAATCTTGGTCTCGCGATGCTGGATAAGACAGGATCTCGTTCCCCAGCAAAAGTATCGTTGTCTTTCCTGAGTCTAACCTTTCATACCCTGTGCCTTTACTACAAGTCCTCTCCCTGAAGTCCAGCTTTAATTTCAGGCAAACCCAAATGTTGTTTTCCTTCAAAAAAACGTATAGGTTTTTCATGGCAATGAGGAAAAACAAGTAACAATGGTTTTAAAGTGAAAGGAATGGAAATGTGTGGGTTTATTGTTGTTTGGGTTTTTTTGTTTGTTTGTTGAAGTTCGAGTTTTCTTGGTTTGTTTTGTTTGAATCCAAAGCCCAGTAATCAGTAACTCACGGTCGGTGGAAGTGAATGTTCATTTGAAAAAGCCTTTTTTTTTTTTTTTTCTTTTCCCTTACGTTTTTTCCAACCACGTATCTGATAAGTATCTTCCCATAAGAGTGTTGCTGATTTTCCTAGTGCTTTAGAAATGAATATAGCGGTTTTCTATTCCTTTGTCTTGGTCCAAGAATAGATGCTGAATTGTGGCAGTGAAGATGTGCTGGAGATTCACTGATGAGCCAGAAGAAAAGAGCCATTACTCTGCTTCTGTTCATAGCAGTACAAGTTAGGAGCAGCAATGCAGTGGCCAACACTGTCTTCCTGAAGTAGCTATGGAAGAGAGGACTGGGGACTTTGTTTTCGTACGAGTTATAAACCCACAACCAGAGCACAGTCAGCTCTGCCCATCTGAAAACTTTCATGTTAGGTGGGGCTGGGGGGCAACCCTGTTTTCCATCAAAGCCCAAATAAAGCAAAGAATCTTTGGGAAACTCTGGGGTTAAATCATAGAATCATAGAGTTTGGGTTGTAAGGGACCTTCAAAGCTCATCTAGTCCAACCCCCTGCAAATGAGCAGGGACATCTTCAACTAAATCAGGTTGTTTAAAACCACATCCAGCCAGGCCTTGAATGTCTCCAGGGATGGTGTATCTACCACCTCTCTGGGCAACCTGTGCCAGTATTTTACCACCCTCATTGTAAAGACTTTCTTCCTTACATCCAGCCTGAATGTCCCCTCTTTTAGTTTGAAACCATTTCCCCTTGTCCTATCGCAACAGGCCCTGCTAAAAAGTCCTTCTGCATCTTTCTTATAGGCCTCTTTCAAATGTGATGCTTTCACTGCAAAGCGGTAGTTGCATGGCTGTTTTCTGAATAGCTCTTAGCTGAGAGGATGCATTCTGGATAATGTGCTGAGGAGGCCAGCACGTATCTTAACACCTATTTACATGTATGTGGGTCACTTACCTGTCCTGGTCACAACTGGTGCTTAAAGTCAGTCTACTAGACCCAGGGGCACTTCTGCAAGCTGAGAACCTACCTCTCTGTGCGCTTATCTGTGTGATATAATAGAGCTGCCATGATGCTCCCTGTGAAAGCAATTTTAAAATTAATAAAACTTCACGTAGATGGCCTTACAAATACCAATGGAAATCAGATCTTGGAAACTTAAAAGTAATTTTTCTATTTCTGGTACAATATTTAGAACAGAATGTTTTTGTCCAGGTTGAAATACAAAAAATGGAGCTTCAACTCCTTGAGCGCTCAATTGTTTTGGTCTTCTGAGATTGCTGGCCTGAAAATGTATTGATTTGTAAAGCTGATGAATTAGGCTAACTACATGTACCCTGTAACTTGAAGAACCAATTATTCATGAAAAATTGCAAGGCAATCACGAGATTAGACTTTGGCAAAGTTAAAGAACTAAAAACAGTGTATTATGATGGGAAGAGCTGGGTGTTGTTAATTGTAGGTGTTGCTGTGTGGCTATGATAAATGCAATAGATAACAAGTTGTTTATCTGTTAAAAACCAGACTCAGACAGTCTTGGCAACATTTATAGTATCTTATTGTCCTGGTGTTCCTCCTGATTTCATTGGACTGATGCAGAAAGTGAATCACTACAGTGAGATGTCTGCAAACATGTAAGACTTGATGAAGCCTTTTTTATTTATATGCGACAATGTCAATTTTGTGTGCTTAAGTATAAACATTTATTGTTTCATTTTCTTAGCATCATTGCTTGTGCCATGGGCATGAAACGTTACGTGGAGGCCAACATCTCTCTGAAGTCTCATACCACAGTCAAATACTTCATGAAGATGTGGAGCAGTGTTAGCGATACCCTCATCTTCATCTTCCTTGGCGTTTCCACCATTGGAGAAAATCATGAGTGGAACTGGCCATATATTTGCTTCACCGTCATTTTCTGTCTTCTTTGGAGAGCACTAGGTATGGTGAAATTATAGGGGTTTTTGTTTGTTTGTTTGTTCTAATATACATTATTATTTATGGGGGTGGAAAATGTAATTCCATTAAATGAGGGAATGCTCCTGCCCCCATCATCCTTTCCTGCTCGCTCTGTATGTGTGGTTACCCCAGACGTGAATGCAAGGACTGAAGTAGGACACCCCAGCCAATGCTTCCCTCCTCCATTGCTTGCTCAATAGCAAGTCTTGCATTTTATTACAATTTCCTACTCTGTGCACACCCCACAGACAGCGCTGATGCTAAATAGATATTTTCATGACATGTTTTATTGATACCTCTGTCTTAGACCCTCCTTTGACTGCCATGATCTTCTCTCCCATTTCAGTTCTTATTAGGCTCTTGTTTTCCTCACAGTAGAACAGAGATTGTAAGCACATAGCTTGGGATTAGAAAGCTGTGTAAAACCATGAGGCCCCTGACAGCGTATTTTGAATTGTAGAGATTTAAGGGATTTGATTTGTAACAAGTTTGTGTACATCAGCATCCTTAAAAGGGAAACTGGAGGAACCTTCAAACAGCTGTCCCTGGAGATGCTGTTATGCTTTACAAAACAGCATCTACCCTGCTTACTGCTGGGTAGATGAAAACTGGGACCTAAAATTTGAGGATGCTTCTGCTCCTCTTCAAGAACCTCAGGTAAGGAGTGAGAATGACAGAATTGCACAGAACCAGGGGATTGCTGAGGTTGGCAGGGATCTCCCAAGATCATTGGGTTCAACCCTTGCTTAAACAGGGTCAGCTAGGCAGGACTGTGTCCAAACAGCTTTTGATCATCTGCTTGGATGGAGACTCTGCACCCTTCCTGGGAAACCTATTGCAGTGTTTGACCAACCTCACAGTAAAAAAGTGACCAAGACTTGGTGATTACAAGAGGATGAGGAATAGGAATGGAATAGGTTGCCCAAGGAAGTTGTGAATGCTCCAACCCTGGCAGTGTTCAAGGCCAGATTGGACAGAGCCTTGGGCGACATAGTTTAGTGTGTGGTGTCCCTGCTCATGGCAGAGGGGTTGGAACTAGATGATCTTAAGGTCCTTTCCAACCCAAACCATTCTATGAGAGCTCTGTATCAAAATATTCTCCTGATAATTGTGGCTAAAGATAATTTTCTTGAGATCATTTATGATGAAAACCTGAGTCCCAGCCCCAGAATACAGTGATATCCTATTTTCATGCATTGAAAATGTTCAGAAAAATAGATATGCTGCTTTGTGTCCTCAGTTCTATCTTGCACTGATTTGGTGTTCAGAGAGGCTGATTCTCTTTTGATTCTTACAGTGTGCAGTTACTGTCACCAAAGTGAGTGCAGTGCCTACCTTCCCATTTATGGAAGATTTTCTATATTAACTACATCTGCAAGTATAACTGAGCACACATTTTGGCAAAGTATTTGAGAGCTAAAAACCATTCAACAGGATTTATGCTTACAAACCACTGAGTCAGAGTGAACTCAAATTTGACAGACACTTCAAGAAATTGCTTAAATAGGATTGGCCATGATTAGCAAGACATAGCAGAATGAGTTTCATTAGCTGTTAATACATGCCAAGGTTTGTTTTAATAACTGCACCATAAATGCGCTTCGAAACATGCTTATTAGTTGTGCAGATGTTCAAATGTTTTATTATGGTTAAGTGGTTTTCTCTAAATTATTTGCTGAAGTTCTTAGTTCGACTTTTCTTAGTTCAAAAATTCTTCACTGCAAGACATAAGGAACATAATAATATCACAAGATCCCCTGGCTCTCTAAACATGACTCCTCTGATTGCATTTTAAAATTATGCAGCATGTATTAGAGAAGGGCTCAGTGCTGCAGCTAGGAAAGAAAACCCTTCTTCCATTCAAAATCCCCCTTGATTTAAATAAGAACGCACAAACCAGGGCTGAAAAATCATATTGCGCATCTGATTCCGAATGGGGTCTTCCTTTTCTGCAGCACCTTTCTGGAAAGCCTGTGCCGGGAGGACATGAGCTGGGCAGGGTGCAGCACAAAGCCGGGCTGGGAATCTCCTGTCTTGGAGGTGGTGACTGAGATGAGATCCTGACCTGCTCAGACCCATCTGGCAGCTCTGGATGTGCTTGAGGCGCTGATCCAGAAGTGGGAGGCACCCATAGAGTTTGCTTGCAGGAATTGGGGACTTTTGGGTCGACAGTGCTGGAGTTAGTGTGTAAGCTCTGGTCTTGTCCTCTATTGGATGCTCCAAGTGCTCTTAAATGAGAAATGATTCTGCTGAAGCCTGAGGCCTGGAATTATTTTGATATAGGAGAGATCAGCTGAAAAGCAAAATGCATTAGTTGTATGACAGTACTAATATTCTACTATTACCCAAGCACTAGGGAGTTTCCTTCTGCACTTTCTCCAGGCCTATCTTCAGAAGGAAATATATTCTGCTCAAAATGATGAATTGTATGTCATCTCGTGGAGCAAACTGGCCTTGAGTTAATTTAGGGAATGCTAATGATAATTTGTGAGGAAGGATTAAATTAGGACAAAGGCCAGGATGTCAACTCAAGTAAATTTTGCTCCTGTAAATCATTAGCACTGCCTGAGCTTTACAGTAGCTGCAGATGTGAGCTGAGGTATGCTTTATTTATTTACTTCATTTAAAGTTGCAAAGAACCTTGAAACTGATATATTTCACATCTGCTGGTCTGGGTACCAGCTCCACGGAGATCTGGAGATGGGGAAGGTGTTGCAAGGTTAATTGAGTTCGCTGTTCCTGAAACATCCCCAGCTTTTTGTTTTCTTCAAACTGGTCTGATGTGCAATCAGATATTTTTAATTGTACTTGTGTGGGAAGATGTTTGATATGTACATTACAAGTGCACTATTTACTTTTGAAGTTATATCTTCTCCAAACACCCTTTAGAAAGGCAACAGTGTTGTGGATCCAGCTAATTCCTAGCAAAAGACAATGACAGTCTGTGTCATCAGTTCTCAAAATGGCCATTAATCTTCAGGAAATAAGGTGTTTATCATATCTGTTGGTATTAGATCATGGCTTACTGATTTAAGGCTCAACTTTTTGTACCTTTCGTATCTATTTATGTATTTGCAAATGACTATAAATTACTACCTTACGTAGTCTTAAGTTCATACAATATAAATCTTTGAGTGAAAGATTTGTGAAGAAGCAACATTTACACAGGCAGAATAGAGCTACTTATCCAAGCTACTGCTTGGAAACTTTTCGAAATTAGAGAGTAATTTGTGGCTAAATTGTTGATGGTGGTTTGCCTCAAGAACATTTATAATCTGAGCAATTTGCTTATTTGTTCTCACCAATTAGCATAAATCAATTAATATTTCAATTCAATTCTTGGAATCTGGTTCTGTGTCTTTATACGAGTGAGGCTGACACATGACCACAGAATTGCCCTAAAAACATTCGTTAACTACCATCTAAATAAACGTGTTAATATAGCCTATGTTGCCAATAGTTATTGTTTGTTCAGTATTTAGCTGACGCTTGACACTGAGTCACCAGGTAAGTGGTATGTTCTGGGATCTGTGGTCATTGGAGCGGGAGGACAACACTAAAACTCCCCTGCAGAGTTCAGAGTCCTTCTGAAGGAAGCTCTGGTTTCCAGGCTGGGCTGTGATAAGCACAAGGTTGAGTTAAAAAACAAGAGAATTTTCTACAAGAAGAGCTACCTAAAACTGTACATTTTATAGTACAATTAATAGTTGTACAAACTCCCAAAACTGTGGCTAATCAATGGTGTTGTAATACCCCAAATCAGAAATGCATCAGGGATTAGTTTTTAAATGGACAAATCAAACACAAACCTGTCAGACCAGCCTGGAAGAAAAGCCCTTCTCCAATGGCATACTGGGAGCATAGCTTGGGACCTGAACAGTTCCTCATGACTAGTGTTTACCAGTTCAGGGGTGTTTTACACTATAATACATTGAGTTGTATCTACTTGCTCTTTTTGTTTGATGTGCTCCCATCTTCTTTCCTGCTTTTCAGGGGTTCTTGTGCTGACTTTCTTTGTGAACAGATTTCATGTGAACACCATCACCAGCAAAGACCAATTCATTATAGCATACGGGGGTCTCCGAGGAGCCATTTGTTTCTCTTTGGTTTTCTTGCTGCCTGACTTTCACAGAAAGAAGCTCTTCATTGCAGCAACAACTGTTGTCATCCTCTTCACTGTGTTCGTACAGGTAAAAACAATCTTGGTGTCAGTAGCAGATGTAAAGAATAAGCATGATTTTTTTCTTCTCCAGACATATGACCAGTACTAAACTATTAGATGGATACAAGGATTTTCCGGTCATTAAATCTTTCCCTCTGTTGAGTGGTTAGGCATATAAAAATTTACAGTTATTACTGAAAGAAGCAGAAGGCTTGAGAGGTTGACCAGCAGTTTTTGACTTGCAACGTGCTGTGTGTTTTCCATGATAACTTGTCACATCTTTGATCTGGTCCATTCATAGTGGGGTAGTGGTGTTGAAAATTGTGAAGAATTATTCTGGCATAGGTTTCCTCTCTAGAGTAGTGCTTTTATATGCTTTAGATGAGAGTAAAGCCAACACAAGTCAACCTCTACAATAGTTTGCTGTTTGAGTAAGGTAGAGAATCACTTGTTATTGCAGGCCTTGTAATGAAATGAAATGCTACCTGCCATGCAGTAAAATGAAGGTCAGTTTTCCTAATCCCAGAGATGAGAAAGTGGAAGATACTGGAGATACTCCAAACCTTCTGAACATGAGCAGCAAGAATTTTATAAGAGGGTTATGGTTTGGTTGTCTTAATTTTGGTAGTTCTCAAGTGGGACAAATTTAAAAAGACCTAATTTTAGGGGAGTGACTTCTTAATGGTTTCTGAGAAAGAGTTTTATTGGGGCACCCAACAGCTGAAGCAACAACAGTCATTAGTTTATTCTGTTGTATTTTGTATGTATGTCTGAGATGTTTTCACATTCGCACAGCAAAGCAGCTGCAGTTATTTTATGATGAAGCAGCAGGAAGGGGATTGCTTTAACTCTTCCACTGGAAAAAAATTTGGGTGTGTTACTTGTTATAAAACCAAGGAAAATCAGAAGTGAATAAAAAGTCAGCACATATGATTGATTTGCCTCTAATTTTTCTTCTATAACTGATCCCTAAGCCCTGTTGCCACCTGCCTTCTCCTTCTGCCCTGGTGATTCTTGGCTTGCTTGTTTCCTACTGAGCATTAAGGCTTCTGTGAGTGAGTTCAACCTGCCCACATCATGCAGTGGCTGCCAGGGTGGGAGAGGGAGGTGGACCCTCACAATGTTGGTTGCTCAGAGATATTTGGTTTATTGTTTAAAGCATGGATGTACTTTCTACCACCACCACCCCTCCCCCTTTCAAAAACTGATTTATGTGAGTGACTTCTGAGTGTGTTTTGCAAAGCTCAGTCCTATAGAAACGCTGTAGGGGCATCTGCAGCTTGAGCTGCTCTTGGGGACCATATGAACAGTGCCACATCTGACCCCAGTCCACAGCTGCAGAGTGGGCAAGGATGGGCAGTCTGCAGCTGAGGCAGAATTTAGTGCTGGTATTGCTCTCCTTACTAATCATATGTTGTGGGTTTTTCTTGACGAATTATGAATTAGCACCCCTCCCGCTCTGTGATGGAGAGAGCTTTCCTCCCCCTCAGGCACAGGCTGAGGTTGTAAGGAGTTGTTGAGCTCGAGAGGAGCAGGCAGGCAGCATTGCTCTGACATCTAGTGGTAAAAACATCCTTGCAGACTTCTGTCTGATGCTTTTGGAGGTGTCTCCCTGCTCTTTGCCCCGCAGCAAGCCTGTAAGGACAGGGCTCTTGTCGGGGTTTCTTCGAAATACACATTTTAGTTCACTTATCAAACGCTGTCATGTTTGGACGAGGATGTGGTGGGAAAACTGGGGTTTTCTGGTCCTGAAGTGAATAAGGCTGATGTTTACCTGGTGCATGCCATCCCAAAAAGTTAAGCATGGGTCTCCATAGGGCTGAAGTAAGTGCAGTGTGGGTCTGGGAAAGATGCCATGCAGAAAAGCTCCCCACGAGCTCCTGCT